ATCTATCTATCTATCTATCTATCTATCTATCTATCTATCTATCTATCAAAATACAAATTGTTTAAATTAGGGATGTCCCGATCCAGTTTTTTTCTCTTCCGATCCAATCCCGGCCTATCAGAGCATGTGTTAAAGTTTAAAGTTATTTATCTACTTACTTAGTTGTCAGACTCATGTTGAACAGGGATTTACTCTGATAACAACTTAATGGTTAGGACACAGTTACATCTAAGCTGATTGGTGGTTTTGGTACCGGTCCATGGTTCTGTTGTATTTGTTCTCCGAGTTTGAATAACCTTTTATTTTGTAAAAATATTTTATTTTGAAAAATGACCGGATTCTCTTGGTTACATCTCGGTCACTTGAGCGCCCAAAATTTAACCAACAAGCTAGCAAAACAAGTAAAAAACAGACGTCTTTGGAAAGTTTCTTTTCGAAGGGGAAAAGGCCCAAAGAAGAGATGCGGGAAGAGGCGACGACTCGGGAGAAAATAAAAGATTTTAACCGACTAAACCAGAGTTCTACTTGAAATATGGATCTAAAACGCGGTGACGAGGCCTCAAACTGCTTTTCCAGTCGGAGACCAAGCATCCGGGATTAAGAGAAGAGCCCCTGGAGGGTTTAGAAAGAAAAACTAAAGCTGCACACGAGTAAAAGTGGGAATCGTTGGGTTTTAGTAATTAACTTCAGAGTAGGGTCTGACCTGCTCTGTTTGGAAAGCGCTGTGAGACAAAGAGGTTTCTGCCTGTTAAAGGAAGTTTTTCCTTGCCTGTGTCGCCTAGTGCTTGCTCATGGTGGGAATTGTTGGGTTTCTGTAATTAACTTCAGAGTATGGTCTGACCTGCTCGGTTTGGAAAGCTGTGAGACAACTGTTGTTGTGATGTGGCGCTATTTAAATAAAATTGAATTGAATTAAACAGTGGATCGACGTTCACCATTATATTCACATTATAAACACATAAAAACCTCTTTCAGTTAAAGCCTCTGAGGCAGCGAGAGCTCTGAATCCAAAAGCAGGTTTTGGTCTTTAATGAGTGATTGTGAGGGATCAGAAACTGAAACCGGAGCCTCTGGTCGGAAACACAGAGGCCGGATCACATGTCAGGAAAGGAGGAGCCCAGAAGAACAAAGCTCTGAGTCACCAACGGCTCCCGGCGGGGCCCCGAGGGGGGGGGCCACTGAGGGAGGGGCCAGGCCGGTCCCCATCGGTCTACTACTCTGCATAGTGTTATTGCTGTCAACTTTTACCATCATCACCCCCTGACATCCGCACCACTACTGACCTCAGCCTTTTTAAAAAAAAGCGTAAGACCCACTTTTTAAATTAGCATTTAATTCGGACTAAGGTCTCTTAGGTTTCCTCCTTCTGTCTGCTCCTT